CCATCCCTCCCAAGCCTGCCCACCGCCTGCCCCCACAGACCTGCCTCAGCCTTTTTCTGGCTTCTCAGCCTCCAGTCTGTCCACAGCCCCAGAGGCTCCCCAGAGCTGGCCCTGCTCCTCACCTGCTCATAGACCTCCCATGGCTCCCAGGTGCCCCAGGACAAGTACCAACCCCTCAACCTGGGATACAGAGCCCATAGGGTCTGCCTATAAGAACTGGCAGCTATAAAATGTGTTACACAAACTGGGACACTTGGGAGAAGGGGATACATTGGTAAGATGCATGGCCTCCCAGCCCCACACCACTCTCCCCATGACAACTGTGCCCCCTGTCTGCCTGCCTCCCCACTCCACACACGTGTTCTTCCTCCTGGGAACCACCCCCAGTCGTCCTTCCTGACCTCCAAAGCCTCACTGGCACAGCCAGTGCCCGGGGCCCAGGGGCACACCTGTTTGCGGGTGGTGATGACCTGCCGGATAGCGTTGACGAAGCCACTCTGGTCGTAGGGGATGAGGCCCATGAAGATCTTCTTCTTGGACGAGTACAGGAGCATGAGCACGCGCACCTCACAGGGGGAGATGTGGGGGAAGAGCATGCAGCCCGCCTGGGGGGAGGCAGGGAGGTCAGGGACCCCAGAGCACAGCCGAGGGGGCCAAAAGCCCTTCCCTGGTCACGCGAGCCTGCCTGTCATCGTGGGACAGAAATCCTCAAAGTCCACCCTATGGTCCCAAAGCGAGAAGTGTGAACCTGCACGCACCTCAGCTCCCGTGAACCTGAATCTGAGGTCAGGGCTGGGGCCTGGGACCCACACGTGGGTGTGTGGATCCAGAGGGCTCTGTCTCCCACCCCTATGCAAGCGCCCCCTGCAGAGCTGCCAAGGCAGCTGCCAGGAGGCCCGGCCCAGCTCTGCCTCCTCCTAGCTGAGAGCTAAGGTAAGTTATGTTTCTAGACATGTTTCCCCACCTGAAAAACGAGATGCCAATGATGTACACACTAAATGCCACATAAATGCTACTCGCACAAGATGCTAGTGCATCGTTGGAGGGACGTGGGAGAACATAAACCTGACAGATGTCCCCATCTAGGGTGTTGGACAAAGGGGCTGGCACTTTGGAGAACACCTTCCAGAACACTGCCCATGCTACTGCCTGACCTCCCTGGTCCCTGGCTCAAGCCCAGGGTCCCTAACCTGCCCCTGGCCTTCCGGACCCATGTGCACTGGCCTTCTCAGACCTATAAGAGTGGGCCACAGAGGGTGTCTTCCCTACAGGCTGGGGGCAAGGGAGAAAGCAAGCCCTTAGCAAAGAGTNCCTGAAGTGGCCGGTGGCCAGCTTCGAGCTCCCAACCTTTGACCCGGTGAGGCTCTGCGGCGTGAGTGGGGACGGGTGGGCGGTGTAGTGTGCGCGAGGGTAGGGTTCTCACTCTTCCTGTCCGCCCTCCCAGAGGACAGTTCCCCCTGCAGGGCCACTCTGTCTGCCTGAGTCCAGTTCCCTCTTGAGCTCCGACCCTGAGGTAGTCGTCGCCGTGGGATTTCCTGGGGGTGAGACACCGACCCCTGACCCCTAGGAGCTCTGTCAGCCCAGTGGCTCTTACTGACACTGCATCTCCACCCCGCAGCCGGGAAGTCCACCTTCCTCCAGGAGCATCTCGTGTCCGCAGGATATGTCCACGTGAATAGGGTAGGATTCTGGCCGCACCCGTGTCCGTCTGCAGTCAGTCCCCTCCCATCACTGCTCAGTTCCCTGTGAGATCTGTTCCCCTTGCATCTCTCTGCTCTCCTTCAGGGTGTCGTCCCCCCC